TTTTTTTTTTTGGTCATTGTTGTAAATATACCTATCACACAGCTTTGGCCAATTCAGCTTTTTACAGGTGTACAACTTATTTGACAACAGTTACAATAATCGGCTGAGGTTGCAGGTTATTTTTCCACAGCCCTTTAACTATGTTGCTTCATTGTCTTCCTGAATCTGGTATTGCTGATAAGAAGTATGATGCTAATCTGTTTTTCATTCTTCTGTAGATGATACATCCACCCCCCACTCCTGTAGCTTTTAGAATTTTTTTTCTTGATCCTAAATGTTCTGAAATTCCACTCCAATGTGTGAGAGTACAGAGAATTGAGGCATCATATGCCTCATTATCATCATTGGTCCATGCAAGTCTCCTCTCTTGTTTTATTTATTCATTTATTCTTTTTATCTCCATTCTACATTCCTGTCCCCACCTTAGGCAACCATTTTAATGTGTTTGATGTGCATTCTTTGGTTTCCATAAGTTATTGTATAATATTCATTATTGTTTTGTGTGCATGTGTTATAAATGGTACCATTCTGTAGACCTGATTCTGTTTCTTAATTTTTCACTCAGCATAATCTTTCTAAGACTTTTCCACATTGCTGGGTATACATCCAGTCTGATGTTGCATAATACTGTTTTTCTGCATAGTGTTCCATGTTAGTTTTTAAAATTTTTACCTTTTTGGCCATTCCATGGGCCCTTGCAATCTTAGACATGTATTTTTCCATTTTTGAACAATTTTCAACCATTATTTGTTCAATTTTATTTTATTTATTGTTCAGTTTGTCCCTTTATTCTGTTTATTATCTTTGTCTAGAGCTCTTCTTTCATCTATATAGGAACTTCTGTGTCCATTCTCCATGTCTCTTAAGTTTTATTTTACACTTCCCATTCCTTTATTATTTGTACCATATTCTGGTAGAGTTCCTTGGCCTAATCTTTCATTTAATTAATTTACTTTTTCAGCTATTTGAAAAAATTAACATTTATGGCCCCTGGACACCCTTATAGCTCAGTAGTGAAGTCACTCCTGAGGTTCACCCTTCAACCAAAGATTAAACAGGCCCATAAAACAAAACGAGATTAAATGGTCACACCAGCCCAGGGGCAAGAACGAGAAGGCAGGAGGGGACAGGAAAACTGGTAATGAGGAACCCAAAGTTAAGAAAGGGAGAGTGTTGACATGTTGTTGGGTTGGCAACCAATGTCACGAAACGATATGTGTATTAATTGTTTAATGAGGAACTAGTTTGCTCCATAAACCTTCATCTAAAGTACAATATAAAATTTTTAAAATTAACATATATTTTTATTTTTAAGATCGCTAATTGGTCCTTTTTTTTAAACTGCCTATTCTGGTTTTATGGATCAATGCCTTCTGTATCCTCTATTACCACTCCAAGAGTCATAATTAATTATAAATTCTAAAATAATATTAATAAATATACTCTTAATGAAGCCCTATTATGATTATTTTGTTAATTATTCTTCCTCAGGTGTAAGTATAAAGCTATGTTATGATTGTTTTATTAGCACTGTTTTTTCTGCTGTCAGTTATTCATTTGTTGAATTTTTTCTGTCTTTCATTGTGTTGGTTTTCCTTAAATGTTTGGTTATTCTTGAATATGGGATAATCTTTGTACTTGGGATTCCCTGTTAGACTGTAGGAGAGTAGAGAGTTAGTGCTATAACTTACACTATTTTCAGTGGGTGCAGGAATTAATTATTATGGTTAATTTTAATTGAATAAAAAGAAATAGTAAATTCATACACTTGCATTATTTCTGTGATAATTTCCTCCCTTTCTTTTTCTCTATTCTCTCTCTGGAATTCCTATTATTCAAAGTTTGGAATCTCCTCCATTAATCTTTTTATCTTTTCTCTCAGAGTTTCTGTGTTTTTGTTTTGAAGGTAGATTATTTTTTAAAGTGCTATAATCAAATTTTACTCCACCACAATTTGGCATTTGGGGAAATGATTACCTTGAAAGTCACGACCTCCATGCCGAGGATCTTGGAATAAAACATGGTGGTGTCTTTGATACTCTTCACTGTCATCACAATGTGGTCAAGTCTATGGATAAGACATGGGGGAGGAGTCTGACTATTGTCTCTCCACAACTAAAAAAAAAAAAATATATATATATATATGTATATAGAAGAGACTACATTGCCACTGGTTACTATCATCTTTCTTTCTTCTCACCTCCCCTTAACTCCCCAATTATTACACTTTCACCTCACCCCTATTTCAAGGGAAAAGTCCTGGGAGAAAACTTCAGTAGAGTCTTATTGCCCATGTGTGGATTCACAAGAGTCCATGTGTCTCCAGTGTTTTATTGTTCTATTTCTCCTTCCAGAGGGATAGGGGTAGAGATCAGGACCAGTCCTCCCTTGTGTTCCCCAAGCTGGAATCCATCTCTTTTCCAAGAAACGACAAGACACAAAGGAGAATCAACCCTATGAGTACAAGCCCTCCATTGGTCAAATTTTACCATTCTGCAGCTATCATCATAGAGAACAGGACAAGAAGGGAGCATCTCAGATGAAAGAAATGTTTCTGGGCATGTATATTTACAGATTCATCTCAACATCCAGTGGGAGGGTGTGCCTCTCCCCTACCCCTCTTTCTCCCCTGAGCACACTCCTCACCAGATGTTTCTCTTGTATTTCATGACTTGTATTTGTTAGTAATTAGTATATTTACATTACATCTGCTGTATGATTCTAAGGCTCCTGTGTCTGGCACTATAGGCAGTACAGTATAGTAGGTAAGAGAACAGACTCTGGAGCCAGAATGACATTTAATTAATCTCTCTGTGCTTTGGTTTCCCCTCTGAAAAATGGGCATAATTTTATACATATCTTATAAGATTGTTGTGAATAGTCTAAAAAGTGTTGTATTTTTTATGGGCTTAGAACAATTCCTGACACACAGCAAATGCTGTAAAAGTATTAACTATTATAATGATGATGATGATGATGTCATGGTCATTTTGTTAAAAACCAGACTCCCCACCCTGACCCCCAACCTCTACAGCCTCATCCATTGCTCTTGAACTCCAAGTCATAGTACTATCCTTTGGCCTGTTCCTTAAAAGTGTTACTCCAGTATCTTTAGCCTCAGGGCCTTTGCAATGCTAATATCTGTCTCCATGACTAGAATATAAGCTTCAATAGATTTCTTTCTGCTTTGTTCCCCACTGCATCCAAACAACTAGCAGATGTTCAATAATATTTGTTCAGTGAATGAATATCCACTACAACAGTTAGACCTAGTGTCTGCCACAAGTCTGGCTGTTCTGTTCTATTCTATTCCACTGTGTTCTATTCAATTCCATTCAAACTATTACATTCTAAATAATTTATTTCACTGACCCCAGCTAAAAAAATACTGTGCTATTCTATTTTCATAATTGGAGGAGGTGTTAGCAGTATTGTTGACTTCTGCTGTCCTTGTGGGTACAGAGGATCTACATGGACACAGAAGCAGTGGGATGAGAAAATGACTGACATTTGGACTCCGCTGAAATAAAGTCGTATGTATATAAAAAAATCTTATCCTTTTAATGTCTGTAGGATCTGTACTAGCATCCCCCTTTTATTCTTGAGGAACCCTGGTGACACAGTGGTTAAGAGCTCACCTGCTAACCATAAGGTCAGCAGTTCGAATCCACCAGCCACTCCTTGGGGAAATCCTATGGGGCAGTTCTACTCTGTCCTATAGGGTCACTATGAGTCAGAATTGACTCAGTGGTAACGGGTTTGGTTTTTTGGTTTTTCATTCTTGATATTGGTAATTTATAATTTCTCTTTTAATTTCTTGAGCAAAAATAGAGATTATTAATATTATTAATTTTTTTCAAAGAAACACCTTTTTTGTTAGAAGACAGTTTACTTACTGTTACATGAGCAAGTACCAACGCCTTTCTAACTTGTCCTTCCATCCACATATATTCCTCTCCCAGAGAGAAGTCTTATTAATAACATTTTTCTCCATCTCCTTATGTTTTCAGTGATGTTTTACATCCATTATACACTAACCCCCCACATCTTAAACAAGGGAAAGGGGACTGCAGTTCACCAGGGAGTGCAAATTGGCACTTTTGGGCTGCATGCAAACTGCAGATACGTTTTGTTTGCCCCAGCTTTTGACATTGTTCATTTTCTCTGTTGTATGTTTGCTTCCTATTTCACCAGTTTCTGATTTTATCTTTACAGTTTCCTTCCTTCTACTTTCTCAGGGTTCACTTTGCTGTTCCTTTTCCAGCTTCTTTACATGGAAGCTTGGGTCATTGATTTTCAGCTTTTCTTCTCTATGCGTATAGATTTATGCATTTAGAGCTATAAATTTCATCTAAGCACTGCTTGAGCTGCATCCCTCCCCTCCATTTTCACAGTCTGTTGGAAATAAATTCCACCTCTTCCTCCCATTATTCAGTGCCCTGCCAGCTTTGAGTCAGACCCCAGACCCTGCTTTGCAGACTCAGAGCTCCAGCCAGCCCAGATCTCAAGGATAAGCAGGGGTGGCTCTTTTAAGGAACAAGAAAAAGGCCAGTGTGGCTTAGAATCCGAGAGTGAGTGAGTGATGAGCTGGAGAAGAAGGCAGGGACCACATCATGCAGAGTCTTGGAGGCGACATTAGGGAGACTAGTTTATACAAAGATTATCAAGACATAGCCATCATATACTGTTTACTGTGCACCAAGCCCTGTTCTAAGCACTATAAAATATAATCCATTTTATTCTTCATATCAACCCTATTAAAAAGGTATAGTCAGAGTACCCAGAACATGATGCCCTCCCTCATTCTGTCTCCTCCATACAGGGAAAGTGTCTATCTTCCTGCAAAGCCCTATTCAAATCCCCTTCAGAGTGCCACGGGCCCCTGGAATTCTTTGAGCAAACTCTAAGGTCAGCACTGTGATTCCACATGGCTCTGTCGTGACAGCGTCAGGAACACCCTCCATGAGCCACCTTTGTGTCTGTCCACTTGTCCCTGGCTGAACTGATTTCCTCTGAGCCACCCTGAGGTAGCAGCCAGCCCTCAGCCCAGGCCCATGCCTGCCAACATGTTTACATCTGACCGGGCCCTCAGGCTGTTAGAGCAGGGTCTTCCCATGTTCCTCTGCTGCCCTCTGCTTGTACTGAAAGAGGAAGAGAGAGGAAGAGGGGGAAAATGGATACCAGCACACCAAAAGGGCCCACCAAAAAAAACAAAACAAAACAAATTCCTTGCCATTGAGTCAATTTTGACTCATAGCGACCCTATAGACAGAGTAGAACTGCCCCATAGGGTTTCCAAGGAGTAGCTGGTGGATTCGAACTGCCGACCTTTTTGGTTAGCAGCTGAGCTCTTAACCACTGTACCACCAGGGCTCCAAGAAGAGGGAAATAGGTTACCAGACCTCGACCAGGGGATCCCAAGCCTTGGTGCCCCAGGCCACCAGGGGCCACCCCATTCACCTGTTTCTCTGAAGTCCTGCCCCACATCCTGGCTGGCAGCCTGGAGGTCACACGGCACAGCATGGAGGGGACAGAGCTAGGGGAAGAGGCTGCCCTTGCCCTGGGGCCTCCAGACAACTCTCTGGCACAGCGCCCAGAGATCAAGGGGCAGGAATGGGAGGGCCATGAGCTGAGGACTGCTGCTGGTGACGCAGGTAGGCAGTGCAAGTACAAAGACTCTGAAGTAAAAGTCATGGCCCTAGAAAGTAAAAAGCTTAAGGTATATGTGTGAGGATTACTTCTTTTGTTTTTTGTGCTTTAGATGAAGGTTTACAGAGCAAATTAGTTTCTCATTAAACAATTAGTACACATACTGTTTTGTAACATTGGTTGCCAACCCCATGACGTGTCAACTCTCTCCCCTTCTCGACCTTGGGTTCCCCATTATCAGCTTTACTATCCCCGCCTGCCTTTCCGTCATTGCCCCTGATCTGGTGTGACCCTTTAGTCTCGTTTTGTTTTATGGGGCTGTCTAATCATTGGCTGAAGGGTAAACCTCAGGAGTGACTTCAGTACTGAGTTAAAAGTTGTCTGGGGGCCATACTCTCGAGGTTTCTCCAGTCTCTGTCAGACCAGTAAGTCTGGTCTTTTTTATGAGTTAGAATTTTGTTCTACATTTTTCTCCAGCTCTGTCTGGGACCCT